CTATTACAGTATTAATTATATATATATATATATATCTATATTCCATTTATATCGACAAGTTTTCAAGAATATGCTAGTTAATATGGTTCCCAAAAATATGATAATTAATTAATTATTGGAATAGGAGATTACAATCTGTGTTAGAGAACAAATACGAGTATGATAACGTTTGTGCAAATTGTCTAAACTTTTAGAAATTGGCATTTCTTTAAAAGTAGTTGTACTTTGTATTTTGACAACAGGGAGCTGCAATATCGCGTAGAGGTGCAAAACCGAGTTTATCGTCGTGAGATGGCACAGTTGGAATTGGAATTGGCCAGATTGGAGAAGCAACTGGCGCAAGAGCCAGTGGAGCCGTCGCGCGCCTCATCAAGCGCTTCGATCCCGCAACGAAATCCAAGTATCGGGGGTGGTTTGCCTCTTTTATTGCTTAGTGTCCTGCCGCCGGTTATTCCCCGAGCTAGCTGGCCTTCCGCAGATTCGTCCGGTAAGTCGCAAATCGACATCACGATCCGCCGTGCAAAAACAACAAAGCTATTCCGATCTTTACGTAAAAATTGGAAATTACTTTTGGAAGCTCAGTCTCTTCGTTGAATTAATCCTTCTTGAGATTGAACGGTTGGATCAAATCAAACATTCTTTTATCGCGAAAGTATCAATGGCCGATGGTATATATAGCATTCTGAGAAATGATAGATTGCTTTTCATTAGTCTAAACTTGGAAGCTGAGGTCTGCATTGATTCTACGAAGGAATAACCAACACCCTCTTCCGTTGAAATAGATTGTTTATTTAAGAAGCTAAAGTTTGGCGAATGTAAATACTCGAAGCGAACGTGAGGAAACCACTGGCAGATTATCGAAAACGCGGAAAGGCAAGAATAGACCTGTCAAACTTGCACGACGAATCGAACTTTGCCAGCAGGAGAGAAGGAAGGAATCATAAGAATTAATATTTTTCTCGCTTCGTTCGTTTTTTTTTTCCGTTGATCAGATGTCCGAGAAAGGTGACAGAAATCCCTTTATTGCACGTAATTGCCTGAAAAACGTTCACTTACGCTCGTTTGCCTGAGTTGAAGCGTGAGAAAAGAGCTCGAGTTATAGAAGACGTTAGCGTAGCAAGGGAGAAAGCGTTTGAACCTTTTCTCGAGATCTTTCCTGCATATTTCGTGAATTAGACCTGTGATGAAGCGATTATCAATTTTACAGAGAAAAGTAACATATATGCATGACTTAGTATTCAAGAGATTTCGATGTTGTCGAAGGGACTATAGTGCATTAATTATTCGTTGTAACATTTTACACAATTTGTATGAAGCTTTGTATACAACGTAGAGCAAAAGGTTAACAGGGTAAAGTAGCAATCGGCAATCCTCTTTAAAATAGAGTTTTAGAAGCATTCGACTTTAGACTCGATCAGTCATACGAGACCACGTTGGATAGCTGTAGGTGTTCAATCTCGTAGAAATAAGTTCGTCTCCATTTTCGTTTCGATTAATCTAGTTTTTTTTACAGGGCGCAGAGAAAAGGGACGATAATCACTCGTAATTATTTCATTCGCTTATATTGCCGCGACGTTCGGGAGAGAGCTGTTTCGTAATTTGATTTTGTTTATTCCTATCTTTCGCGCGCGCGCTAACAAAGGGAAACTTCCCTCGTCGAAAACTCGTCGTCTCACTTTGCCATTTGCAGTGCAAATACCGCGCGTTTCCCTCGCGGAATATCCGCTTTCAACTGTCATGCACATGCATATTTACGCTCCGATAATTCAGACGACGTCGACACGCGAACGCAAGACATGTATCGAGTACTCCGCGTGTACCAATTATCGTTCGCATCAACTTGACCATGATCGCGAGAACCAGTATCGTCCGGTATTATTAGCGAGCGAGAGCTTGTTGGGCGAATTTGATGCGTTTTCCGCTACGAATATCGATCCCCGCACGCTCAGCTCTCGCATTATACTCGTGTCTCCAAAATTCCGAAATCCTCTCGATAAGTCCGGACAATTCCGCACACGAGTACCTGCGAGTACACGAGTCTGCACGCCGACTGCGCGTTCCACCCCAATATTTCTGAATGTCTATCATGACCGGATCGAAACGAGGTCAAAGGCTGCGCCGTTTCGTGTGTATGCATATAGGGTGTCTCGCCACTCCGGGAAATTCGCGAATGCTTTAAAGAATGCTCTCAAAGCTTTCTTCGAGGAAGAGCGACCCAATTTCGAAATATCTTTCCGAATTAAACGCGGCTGGATCTCGATAATATATTAATATAATTTAGGTTCTTTAACTGGGAGCAAATCTTTGAGCAAAGTTAATTCATATTAGGAAGAAAACATTGTTGCCATAGTTTTCTCATTTTAGAAGTATCGGTTTCTAATCCACCAAGAAACTGTCACGGGGAGATATTCTTCGTCGATATTGATATACATCCAAGTATACATCCCTGCATTACGTAAATTACATACTGTATACATGATATATGATATACTCATCATATATTGCAGTGCCCGCGTACTGAAACTCAGATGACGGAAATATTCACTAATTATCGATCTCGAGTTCCTTCGTAAGTATGTCAAAGTATTACTGTCACTGCTTGGGTGACGAACATTTCTTGCAAGCTAGACGAAGATGCGAATAGCATTGCGCTTTTGACAATTTTGAAATTAACACGTAACTTACAATTCGCGATACACATACGCACAAGCGTCTCCTTCTGAATTTTCTCAATTAATTATAATAAAAATTTCAAACATATAGCATGTAATACGACGTCACGCATATAGAACGTTTCAGTTTGCTGTTTTGAAAATACGTAAATACGCGGGAAAAAAAAATAGCTACACACATAGCGTTTTATTATTATGAGAAACATGTGCTTTCCCTCCTTCTTCTTCTTCTATTCGAAGATGATTTTCATATTGAAGCTGTAGCCGTAATCCGATTAGGATATTACACGGAAATAAGAGAGTATCGTTCTCAAAATAAAGTAGCAAAAACTAGTACTCGTCGCGACAAGCTTGAAATAAACGTATCGTTTAATCAGCGATATTAAGCTCAAAACACACTATATATAAGCTTCGTGTCCTTGTTAAAATTATCATTTATAGAGGAGAGGCTAGACGGATAAGTCTTTTACGGATTAATGGAGGAATATTCCCTGTTGCGCGCAGATATGGATTCACGGCTCGCTTCCGCATAAATGTCGTCTAAATTTGCTTCACACGCTTTCGCTTCTGCGGAATCCCGACGGCTAGGTAGAAATCCAAGTTTCAATAATGCGCGTCCATCATAATCATTGCACGACACGAAATAGTGGTTTCGCGTCATGTACGAGTTTGGCCCTTGTTGAAATTAGGCATACGTCGCGGTACCGTAGCATTTAGCAGTCAACCGGATTTGGAGCCGGGCGATCCGAGACAAAGTCTGGCCGATCTTTACAAGCTGCACCGTCGCCGAGAGACCGAGGGTCCGAATCGATTGGGCGTTTTTCAACGACTCTTCAGCCTCTTCGGCAGCAGGCCGAGTAGCAGAAAAACCTCCACCGCGTCGTTCACCGGTAAGAGAATGTGCCGGGGAATAAAAGAATAGAGGCATTTTCACACCTTAAAGCGCAGAGTGTGATATAGAGACGATTTAAGACTATATATATTACAACGTCAGAAACGAGGAAATTTCCCTCGCAAAGGAACATTTTTACACGGGAGAAAATTCAAAATAAGGATAGAAAATTGGAACTGGAGCCGTCTGTGTGTGTCTGTTATATGTCGGAAAAATTTGCGCTTTTTGACCGGTCATCCTACGAAATTGATGCCTGTAAGAAATAATTGTAAATTATTTCGACTCGATTCGAGTTGTGGTTCATAATCGTTTGTGAATCGATAGAAAGAAGTTATTGCGTATTATTGCGTATTACGTAACGTATAACATTATAGACTTCGCGTTTTGATGAGTGCGGTTTATATTTCGCGTTTAGCTCTCGCATTTCCTATAATTCATACACATTTAATATATATGCTGCTTATCTAGCTTATATTACGTTCATTAGGGGTCGCATCGGCGCTTCGAGTCCATATGGGCTATATCGCTGGTTTAGTGCCTGGTGCGAAAGCTGCTTCTACTTGCCAGGTGGATGCCCAAGGCACACAGTCACCTCATACGCGATGCGGTTCAGGACCGATAATTAACATTACTAGCGAGGAAGACCGTAGGTTGAGCCTAGCAGGGCTACGTCGCAAGGAAAGTAGCGAGCCTAAAGTAAATTTCAGCTTGCCGCCACGTAAGTGATCTAACTTTAACTTTAATATTATTATTTTAATTAAACGTATTTTATTTATTATTTTAAATATTTTTGCCTTTACAGAAACGTCAAGTACGTCATAAAACTTTACCGTTTTCGTAAATTTAAATTTTATATTTAATTTCGATACGGAAAGATTTTCTCCTCACATAATTCTAAGTGTCTTCTCCATTGCGCATATTATAATAAATGTATAAAAAGATTTTTGCAGAAAAATTTGAACAATGCAATATTGAAAATGTTTCAGAGACGAGCGCGAGTCAGTCATCCTCTCGAGAGAAGATACGCGGCTCGCCCCGGTTTCCTCATCGAATAATTCCGGCAAACAGTTTGAGCGCCATTGCGCAGGGTACGTCAATCACGAGACCACATCGTTGGCACTCGATGGAAGACGCAACGAAACCAAAAACTACTCAAACAACGTCTCGCGGTTCATGTAGTCCCAACTCCGATGGATGGACCACGAACGAGGTCGTGATTGCTTTCAGCGAACTGGCCAATACCACCAGAACTAGGAAACCCCCGGATTCCCTGGCCCTGACAGTCTCCGTAGACTCGAAGATAAGCCCGATCGACGCAAAACTAGGTAGTGATCTAAGAAAACTGTTCAGAGAAAACGACAGCGAAGAGCCAGTCAGCCCTGTCGAACACGAGCTGAAGACAACGCGATCGAATTCGTCGTCCTCTTCGTCCCTGAAGATAATCGGTGCCACGAGCGAACCTATACCATTAAAGAATTCAGATTCCACCCCAGAGACTCGAAACAATATTGTTCCAAACTTCCACGAAGAGTCGAGATCTCGTCCAAGTACGAGCCCAGTGATCTCGGTGATTGATACGGATAATCCAGGGGAGGAGTCGAATAACGATGTCAACAATCGCGTCGGTACTTCCTGCGAGGAGAAGAGACCGACTCTGTAACGTAAAATACCATGCAAGTAATCGTGAAGAATTTGTTTTAAGTGATCAAGTTTATTAAAGTTTAAAAGAGAAAAAGATATATCAGGGAAAGAACTACGTTGATTTTTTCCCGCGACACTTGATATTTCGACGTTCTTTCGGAAGTGGGACGATGCGACTTCATCGGAACTTTCAAATGTAGTCGCTTAGACAATCTGAAAAGAAATTGAAAATCTCTCTCTATTTAGATGTTTCGTGTGATAAACGAAAAAAAGAGTATCAACGTGATAAGTAAAGTAATTAGGTGCACGTTACGGATTCGTAATTATGACACATCTTCGTATCTTTACGCAATACATGAAGATTATATAGATAATAACAAGGGAATGCAGTATTTGTCAGATAGTTTTAAATTAATATTTCAAAAAAAAAAAACCGAGTAGATCATGCGATAGTCAATTCATAATCCAACATTATATAGTGGTAACGTTGTTTATCATAATTGATTGTTTATTGAGCATTATGATTCCGTAGTGTCGGAGAGACACTGTGCAGTGGGCCGCTATAAAATCGACACTGTCAATGCAATATAGATCACCAAAGGGAAAAGACAATATAGACAACCCGGCTCAACTTGACGCGAGAGTTAACTTTATTCGTGCTCAAATCAATAAGCGGAATAGTGTGTCATGATCGAGCGGAGATTCCACAAAGTGGCGTGTAAATATATAGGTCTCCTGTTCGTAATGCCCAAATGCGAAGATCATGGACCAATCGCAGTCGTAATCTCAAACATGTGTGTTCGCTAGTAACTGTGCCAAAAAAAAAGAAGAAAAAAAAAGAAAAGAAAAGCAAATTACCTGTGACCCGTAAGAGTATACGTTTGTCTTGGAAGATTATAAAAGGGACCAATGCTTACAATATCCTTCCAAGTATTTTTTTCCTTTGATAGGACGAGTTCAATAATCTTGGCCCTGTTATAATTCGCATTTTAAAAAAATATTATTTTCGGAAATATATTGAAGTTCCTTTCCTTACCTGATAACGACAAAAAAAAAATAACGAAGATCAAAATGAGAAACTTAAACATATCCTTTAAAATACTCAATTTATAATCAATGATATATCTACTTTGTGAATATATTATTGTGTTGTGTGAATATTCAAAGATATTTAGAATATTTCCGCAAAACTCTAAAACTTTAAATGTTTCAGAGAAGACAAGCTGAAAATACCCTTACGGGACTGCAATCAAAGTGTTCAGTACCCCAAATCTTTTCTCTAGTACCTGCGCTCATGTGCAATGAAAATATATCTGCTCGAAGTAAAGCGACTTAAAATAAGAATGCCATGTTTTGTTTGTAAAATGCGTGAATACGTGTTGAAAATCGATATTTTCGTGCCATCGAGTGTAAACGTATATACATATAAATATGTAGATAAAGCAAGCAGTGAGGACATAATTCCTGTAAAAGGGTTTCCTTCCGTAATCTTGCTATCCGACTGGTTTCATAACTCGGATATCTCGATGTGTCAATCAATAAAAAAACTTTATCGATTAAGCAATAATCAGCATTGTCTGTGCAAATAAGAATAGTATAATAAAGAACTATATATATTCTATCTATTTTGTTTTATTATATTGAGCATTATTGGGTGCTTCCCATTTAGTGACACGAGTTGACACAAGTATCATTTTGTCCTTGTTAATCATTGAATGCCAAGAAAGAGAGAACGATACTTGTGTCGACTTGTCACTAAATGGAAAGCACCCAGTAATGTCTATTCTACAATTCTTCAAAGGACAATTAATATGATATTCAATGTATGGATCTTTTTATTATTACACGCTGTAAAATATACCTAAGTAAAGTATTACAATATAAAAGAACATCTGATCTATTACAACAAAATAATTATATTTACATTTTCTTATATCTTGTATAAGTCAGTATATCTTGAATTAATACTTACATGTCTCTTAAATTCGAATAAAATGTAACTTTTAATCTATATTTTCATAAAATAAATGTATAGAAAACATTAATTTAAATTATGCTTTGTTTCATATAATAAAAATAGCTGAAATAAGATAGGTAGCCAGCTAAACATCTTCAGTTTTAATGATACAAATATTTTATATAAAATTTGAATGTTATCAAAGGACGAATATTTTTGTTTCAAAATCTTTTTTGTGAAGTTTTCAAAAAATTATGCCAATATTTTCTGCATATAAGTGCATATTTTTTTTCTTGCACAACTGACATTAAAATATATTTTAAAATATATATAAAAATGTATAATGACATAATCTTGATTTTTGAAGTGACTTTAAAAATTGAAATTAAACATAAAGTTTATTTTCCATCGAGATCACAAGCTTTAAAAATGATGGACGAAAATCTATGTAAGTAAATATGTTTACTATCGTATACTACAAATATTTAGAAGATCTGACTACTTTCAGACAGTTTGTCAATGAATTGATAAATGACCATTCGCAATGAGTTATTCGGAGGAAGAAAAAATGATTGATATTAACTTACTGAAAATCAGCAATCTTGTAGCAATTTAAGAGAAATGTATCAAGAAAAATTCTTGTACATAATTATTCATCACATCGCATGTTATATAAAATTGATAAAAAATTTCTGAAAATAATAGTGATATAAAAAAACATGAGAATTAAAAGTTCAAAATAAATAAAAAATACATAAGAAAATAATTATGCCAAAGTTAGCGATGGAAATAAATTTCATGTTTAATTTTACTTTTGAAAGTCAAAAGTCACTTTAAGATCATGTCATTACATTTCTAAATGCATTTTAATGTATGTGAGAGATAATATGCAGTTATACACAAAAAAAACATCTTCGAAAATTCTGAAAAAAATGATCTTAATAATAATAAAATACTTTTTGCAGCATTTGTCCTTTAATATCCAAATTTCATACACCTTTGTATTATTAAAATTGCAGGAGATATTTAGATGATTATTTTTAGATGAGACTCTGTACATAACAAATAATGAAATTTGATTTTTAGCATAATTTTTAAACAATACATATAACATGTAATAAAAAATATAATTTCTGAAAAGTTAAAGAAATTGTAAAAGAAAAGCCAAAAAAAAAAGAAAAAATAATTCCATTTAAATAATTCACTTAAATAAAGCTTGTTTTGCTGCTTGTATCAGACTTATATTATTTAATTGTCGTTCTTTTTGCATTTTTACATATTAATGAATAATAAATGATTTTCTGTCCGCTTAGATCCGCTAGTATTACATAGGAAAGTAATATATTACAAGGTACATGTAGTAGAAAAAAAAGAGATCTTATGATTTACTGATGCAATATTTAGGAATAACAACGAAGCGTTGAGCGCGCAAATATACAGAAACGAGCGTACAAGATTAATGAATCCATTATATTACAGCATTACTTCTTTTTTTTTCTTCATGCGGTTCATCTTCTGTAGCTATATTGCCGCCTGAAACAGTCAACGTTCGACTTGATAACTGTGAAATCTATTACGCCACTATAAATGTGATGAATTTAATTACATACATTAATTTTTTCTAGGATTGTCTCCGCGGGTTTATCCTGCTTTACGGCCTCCTTCGGATTATCTTTGATAATATTTGGCTTATCATCCTCCGGGTTCGTCTTTTTCTCCAGAGCGTTTCTCGCCTCTATCCTCTTACGATTTAAAAAGGCCATACCGTGCACCCTCAGATGCTTGTCTACCGCAGCTTTATCTTCAAAAACTGCCATACAGACGTGACATTGATTAGCCACCGTCGTCTTCCCTCCCGTTGGCGAGTCACTGTCAACATCGGGGGCATAGGAGGGATTTTGACTCATATAACTGATAGGATCCTCTATCCCATGAAAAGCTTTAAGATGCATCTGCAAGCTGGGCGCGACTACAAAATTCTCGCCACATTCCAGGCATATTAGGTAACGGCCTTTCAGTCGATGATTCGTAGCGATGTGCTCTCTCAAATCAGACATATTGGTACATCGTTGATCACATTTCTTGCATATAAAATTACCTTCTCCGTCTTCCGCCGTTTCCTGTTCAATGCACAATCCTGTTGGTGCATTCGTCTCCTTTATCTCTACATGCTTCTTTGGCGTCCATCGACGCTTTCTCTTAGACACAAATACACTGCTGTCCAATTTCCGTTTTTTATTGCTGATAAGTTGCTTGTAACCGCCGTTAATAAAATCGTGCGATATTCGCGACAATCGCGGTGTAATTATCGCCAATTTGTATTCGTTTGAATGCTTCTCACGAAAGTGTGCTTGTACCACAGACTGAGAAGAGTTAATCCGTTCATCGCACAAGTGGCATAGGTAATCAACACTTTCCTCTTTTTGCGTATCTGTTCCTAGAGCAATACGCTCTTTTGACTTATTAACCACTCTTCGAACGACAGACCTCTTCGATTTCGGCTTTTGTGAAACTTCTGACTTGTTATTTAATGGGTAAATTTTCATAGATGTAAGCAGATGCTGTGGGATCCTGGTAAGCGGAGGAGGTTTTGGTATAGATGCCAAATTGTTTGTACTTTCATCTTTCATCTCTGTATCACATGTTTCGTCGATCATAAATTTAAGATCCGGTTTACATATTTTTCTAAAATCAACTATTTTTATACGTCCATTTGTACCTGATGCGGAATTCGAAGTTTCTTTACTCGATTTAGTTGACGAATCTACACGAATTACGTCCACTGCGTCCATTAACGAAGATTCAGAAATACATGAAGTATCTATTGTCAATTCCTTATTACTTTTATCGAATTCTTTTGTCTTTGCTGTCTCTTCCTTGCTATCAGATTTATTATTATCTAATCCCGTTTGTTGTTCACGTGCACACAGATCCATTTTTCTATCATTAGTTTCTATAGCTTGAAGAGACGGGAAATTAGATTTCTTTTTCGTTTCAGTTGAAAATTTCGTAATCGATTCCTTAGGATTAAGTAATTTTAACTCATTTATCGATCTAACTTTGATTATTTTTGGCAATAATTCTGTTTTGTCCTTATCACCAATTTTTTCCGTTGTTTGTAGACTTACATTATTGATTCCGTCAGAATTCGTAGACCATGTATGTTCCGTATCTTGAGAACCTCGTTCAAATATTTCTGAGCTGATAGTTCGAGTATTCACGATTTTAGGTACTATGGTACCGTCCGCGCTTGGCAATTGTGTTGCAACTTTGTCAGCATGATTTTTGGAAATCGTATTTACATTAGTTTTTCGACGTTCTATACCGAAAATTTCAATAAAGATTTCTTTGCTAAGAGTCCTCGATAAACAATCAAGATGATTGCTACGTAAATGGTTGTTTAGTAACATCGTAATATGTTTATGCTCTGTAGTTATCAATTGACAAAAAGGACATTTGAACCATACTAATTTTCGAATTATAGGATACTTCTCCAAATATGACATGTATTTCTCACAACGTAGGGTTACATTGCTTATTTTACATATCACTAGTCGTATTGGATTTTGCTCCACCTTAGACGAGTGCGCCTCTGTGCAATGTTTTGTATATTCGCTATATGAAGAAAATACCCGAGAACAAACTTCGCAACCAATTTTTATAATGCTGTGCATAGCAACAAAATGTCTAGTGACCGACTCCATATCTCTAAAACCATCTATTTCGCAAATTTTACAAGCAAATACAATCCTTTTTAATGTATGAAAGCAAACAGACCATGTGTGAACTTCTAAAGATTTAGCAGATTCGAATTTTTTCTCGCAATCTGGACAAACGTAAGGTTCATCTTTCCTGTGAAAGTTTTGATGCGCAATAAATCGTGATGTAGTGCCTTGATATGATAGACATTGGTGACAAACTTGTTTGTAACAAGAACAATATGCATTGTCATATTTGGGTAATTTTGAAAATCCAGGTATATACGATTTAGGTTTCATAAGTTTATCACATGATGAGCATTTGTATATTGAATCCATTTTCATTTCCCATTCATTTAACATAACATCGTCGTCTTTTGTTTGCTGTACATCTTGATTATGCTTAAGAATACATTCTTCTAATATGCATTTTATAGTATTAAAAGACCTTATTTTTTCTTGAAAAACAGTGTCTGACATAAAATTCAAAACTTGTCTCATTTCTGTGTTAACATATTCTAAATGTTCAAGCCGCTTTTTCAATTCTAAACTATTCAATTGATAGAGTTCATCAAACATTTCCCGTCTACCTTTTATTACTATGTCACACATATCTCTTTTGTAATTTGATCTTATGAAGCTGTCTTTTACAACACGATGCATTACTTTTATATCCATATAAAGATTTCCATTGTCCTCTTTGATCAATGATATTGTTTCAAATGCATTTTTTTGAGGTTTAATGGAGGATATCGAAATTAAATGTGGAGGTACTTTTTGTAATTTTGGCATCGCCAAAGTTTTCTTAACGTTAGATTCGCAACTAGAACTGCTAGATAATTTAAAAGTAGATGGTGAAGGTAAAACAGACATATTGTTGTGGGAAAAAACCGCTTGCTCGATGCCAATATTTTCAATTTCATTAGAATTATTGAGCGTTACTCTTGATGTTGAAGTATTAGTATTACTTTCGGATATTAATTGTTCTGGAATTTTTATGGTATTTTTGACAATTGACAAATTAGAAGAGTTTTTGGGATTTTTTGTAATATTTTTTGTACGTTTAATGAGGTACTTCTTTCCATCTTTCATCACAATTTTTCCGGTGACTTCTTGTTTTTTTATATTAAAATCATTCTTCTGTGTTGATATATTGAAATCTATACTGTCATCTTCTACTATCAAATTATTTACATCTTTCTTGGTAGTCAATTCATTTTTGTTGCAGGTAATTATGTTACCTGAATCTTGTTCAATAACAACTATTTTCTTGTTAGAAATAAAATGAGGTGAAATCTGACTAATTATCGATGCAATATTATTTGGACCTTGGATAGTTAGTATCTTGGAATTTGATGTCATTGATGTCTGAAGACTTTGCTCTGAACTAGTATTTATTATTGTATTTTTATTAGCAGAAAATGGAATACTAATTTTAATTGAGTTGTCCACCATTTTATTAATTCCAATTTTTGGATTTGTGGATTTGCTAAGATTATTCTCTGTAACTTTGTTTATAAAAGGTTGTGTTAATTTACATTGTTGCACAGAATCTTTACGTGACTGTTTAACACAAACAAAATTTTTATTAGAACCGTTGTCATCATTGTTTATAGTGATATTTTCATGAATTATATCTATTTCAAGCGAATTGTGATCTTTAAAAGATTCACTTTTTGTTTCATTATTCATTCTAACTACATTAGCTAAGCGACAATCTTCTATTTCTTGTGATAACTTTTTTAAAACTGATTGGTTTTTAAGTCTATAATTCATTGGTATTTCTGGTTCAAAACATTGTGAAGTAGGACCGCAATCTACAAAAGTAATGTCATTTGGTGTACATGGATTATCTTCATCTTCCACTACATCCTTATCTGAGATTACATTAGTTGAACAATTATTTATGTCATTTTCATCTTTGGAATTATTATTCATATTTGATTGAGTTCCAAAATTTTTTCTAGCTTTTTCATATATAATATCTGGCTTTATGATATATAAATCAGGGTTGAAATTCATGAATTTATCTGCCATTGGTTTTTCATAAGTTTTAAATAACTCTCGACCTTGATAACCATTGACAGCTTTATTTATTATTCGGTTAGAACTTTTCCCATTGGCCAATTTCCACCAGTCATCTTGCAGATCATACGTCTTTAACCAATCTATAATATGCGTACGTATCAAAAATGTTCGTTCCATAAGTGCTTCGCATATTATTTCAACTTCAGAACTCCAATCATTGGCGCTCATGCCAATAGGTAGAGGCATTAACATCAAATCACCCAAATTTACAGTACTTAAATGATGCATTTTTAAATGTTCGATAAATTGGCACTGGTTGTAGAATACTTTAACAACTCCTAGCTTTTGGCCCCTACGCAAACCTCTTTCTCGCAAATATATGCGTTTTTCATTACTTTTTTTCATGCATTGAAGACATTGTATGCATGTAGAACCTGCCTCGGTTAAATGAGTACATACTGTTTCGAAACACGCGTAACACCAGAGTCCTAAGATCCAACTGCGTCGTGTGTTGTGATCTTCGAAACTACTTTGAAAACGAAAACTGGAACAAGCATACGCAGTTATACAACGAACAAAATAAGTTAAAATTTTGTTCTATCTTAATGCGCGACTGCGTTATTATAAGCTTACCAATCTCTGCAGTGTCTGCATACATATAATGGATCCGATTCTACAATCTCTTCACTCAAGGATGCCGGTGGTTCTGTTGGCATATAAGGTAAATGTTGCTTCCCAAATACAATCTCTTGTATTGCTTTGTGATATTTCGTTCCCCATTTCTTTTCAAGTCTTAGATTCTTGTGTACTTTTGGTCCAACGCGTTGGGACCTTGCAGTAAGACGCTCCTGTGGAAACAAATCGTCAATTTTAGGTAAAAGATAATAATATCATTTCTCCTATTGCAATATGATAAAATGGTTCTCTTAGAAGATGCATTATGATCGCAAAATGTTGCAAGCACACCCTAATTAATGTTCTCACATATTAACGTATGCACATAAAGAGTAGGCTCCCTCCTCCACATCTATTATCTATTAATCAACACTATGAGGGCACTATATAAATTTTCCATTCATAGAGTTTAAAACCAACTTGTCTTCTGTTTATACTTAATACTTTACCATGAATATCTTTTATGGCATATCGGTCATGTTATATGGGATCTAATAAAATGAATTAACACATTAATGTAAATCACAAAGCTGTACATCTTTCAGCCATGACGTGCCTTGAATCGCTGGCACTCTGTCGGTAAAATAGCACATGATGGAGCTGCCATAGTGGAAAGTCATTGAAACAATTTATGCCGAATAACGATTTAATGTTAACCAAGGCGCACTCGACGTTTTGTTAATGTCATTCCGTTAACATTAATCACATGACTTAGGATAATTTTTACACTATAACTTAGCATGATATAACATACAAATCAATACCATTAGTTTCACAGGACAAACTAATGTAGTCACACTGAGATTTTTTTTTTACTGCTGATTATAACTACAAATTGGACAATTCCAAGTCAAAATGTATCCAGAGACAAGTCCTTCCAATATAGAGATCCTAAAATTTATATAAAAGAATATGTTAGATATGTTTCATAATACAACAGTCACAGTTGGATGCACATACTTTTATAAATCAATAAACCAGAATACTGGCAGCATGACATATATTTTATGTGAATATAATCAATTATATTTAATAAATGTATCCTGTACTTTTGTAATATACCTATTATGCAATAATAATCTATCAGCACGTTTGTTTGAACAGAATAAAAAAAATATAATAGCTGTGAGAAAACAGTACATTCATATTATATAACCAATATATTTATCATATTATCATATATTCTAAGATGTGCATCCACTATGAAAAAATTAAGAATCATCCCTTTGTATACTGTACCTAAGCAATATAGATGCAGAGATGGAAATTAAAAGTACTTATGAATTTATAATGTTATCCTCTTGTTTTGACTATAACAGATCACAAACCATGGCAGCAATAGCTTTCTCTTTATGATCATATAAGAACCTATAACAAGATAAATAATTTATTATTCATGTCCCATAGTACAAGTATGCATTACAACAATGTCAATGAGAAGAATCATATGGAGGAGCGAAAGATAATCATGCCCATGCATATAAGAAAGCTAAAATTATTGATTTCTGTAATCTAATATATAATCTATCCTAATGTCGTTATAGCTTATAATTAGATAATAACAAAATATCATTGTAATAACACAATTAATACTTTTTTTTTTTTACACAAGATCCTCAGGAAACTCAGAAGCATGCAGCTATGTCTAACCTCGTAATAATCACTGCCAGAGTGCGCTAGTCTCGAAAAAAAAAAATACAATGCTTTATGTCTGCGAAGTACAAGATAAAAAAGCAGTGAAGTCTTAAGTATTTTGAAGGCAACAAATAGAAGTGTGAATTTTCTATAAGCACGAGTAACTCGAGAGTGGACACTGATAAACATGTATGGTAAATATTGTCGCTCGTATATAAAAAAAACTTAATTATTATCTTACTATATCACTTACTATATCTTATTATATCACTGAATATAATAATCTCACATTAATTGCGATATCTGCGAATAAATATTCAACATATACAAACACTTCACTAAATTTTCGACGCCTTGTAAGTAAATTTTATTAACAAATTAAATGTAAATTTTACTAACAAATTAAATGTAAAAACATCAAAGTAACTTTAACGTGTTCTCTATTTTCCTTATTATCATTTATTCATTAATTTACTAATGTTATTTCTCTAGTAAATGTATATATAAATATATGTAAAGTAAATATATATATAAATTTGCTGATTATTTCATTTGTTTCTTTAGGACAAACAATAAGAAGAAATAGAAGAAGGAGAAACTTTTCGGTAATTTGCTTTTTTTTAAATTCTTGCAAAGATATTAGAAATCTTCTAACTAGATAGAAATTTTAAGATCATGTTTTACGATCGAAATTTACGGAAAATTTCACATGTTTTTTCTCTTTTTTATCCTCACTTCTCTTTTATTTCTACGGAAATTGTCGATTTCCTCGTTCGTTTTCCCGCCTGGAAGATCATGTTATCACTCACTGCTCGCCGGCTGCGCCACTTGCGATAGAATCCACGATCAAAAACTTATAGTGATCGCACAGTGATCGTACATGAGAGTTGTCACCTGGTGATCGTCGTTAGTTGCGCAACAGCAAAGAAAATGCCGTTTTATCAATTCAATTCGTTCACTGGCAGGCTGAAGCCGTCTACTAATTTTCAGCCACTCTATCCCATCGTAAGTCAGAATGTATCCTTTTGTATTTCGCGCATGAAAATGGTTTGACTTTGAGGATGGCTCAACTTCGACACATTGCCTCCATTTGAGGGTATCTTCGCGGGCGATATCTCTTGAATCGCGCATTTCATTAGTCTCGTGGAACCACAGATGTTCACGCGGGCTGACCGTCAGTTGTATGTTATCTAGTCTGATTATTGAACGTAGAGAAAGCGATTCAGCCATGTCAAGTGTAGACCTGCGTTCATGTAACATCTTTATCAGATTCTCTTACAGTGACATAATATTTTATGATGATATTGATCAGTATAACGATTAAAATGTATCAATGATGCATTAATCATAAATACTTTGGAAACAAAGTAGTCAATGTATATACATATGGATATATATATAAGCACAGTTTGATCTAATTCTATAAATATATTTTTATATGTTAAAAAGAATGATTCTAATGAATATTACATGCATAAGCAAAAAGCTTTTCATTGTTTCAGTCTCCTCTTCCTTTACAGAAAGCAGAGCCAGTAATAATTTATGATTCCGCCAAGACAAAACCAATGACATCCAAGAATTACTGCACGGACAAACCAAAAACCCTTGATCCAAAAATGTGGGCAAAGTATAAACACTTCCAGGCAAGTATACAGGCACATAATGATAATTTCCAATTGCAATTAAATATTGAATGCAGACTTTTATAATATTCTCTTTTTTACAGGCAGCACTGGACAAACCAGTATACCTGGCAGGCGGCAAGAAGGATAAGCTACTATTTGGATTCACAGTTGCCTACCTTGCTGTTTGTTCGGCACAATCACTCGTGTTTATTTTAAAAGATTGCTTAAATATTATCTAAAATAGAATAAGTGGATATTATGTAGATAATTATATAGGCTCATCTGCAATTCTGTATTAACATTACAACTGTTAATACTGGAAAATAAAAAGTAATTGAATTAAAAAATTCGTGTAATTTTTTCATTAATATCCTTTATCATTATTGTGAGGTCAAAAATGGATTTTGTACAAAAGGAACGTTTACGTTTTAATGTGCGAACATTAGTTTTTTCTCATTTTTTTTCACAGCTTGAAAAATGCATTGTGCATCTAACGCCCTCTCGATAAATTTAAGAACGAAGGTTGGAATATACATCGATTTAAAGATTAGGTTATATTTTCGTGTGTATCATCTGTCAGAAATTCGACAAAAGGATTAAGGATCATGCAAAAGGTTTAAAGCTTGACAATTAAAATCAATCCATTGTATCTTTCGTGATAAATATAACGTCATCATGGAGGAACAGGGCAAACCGACCATGGTGTTTCACCCGATTATTTCCTCCATACAGAAAATCGCCCTGTACGAGACAAAATCCGTGAGTTTCACAAGTATGTTTTAATGATATTTATAAAAAGAGAATAATTTTTTACATTTTTCTTTATGGATCATTATAGCGGTTTTATCTGATGGGATCCAACAATATGCAGACACGTTTCCGAGTCTTGAAGATCGACAGGATGAAACCGAGGGAATTGATTGTGGTGGATGACAAGAGGGAATATACTCAAGATGAGATAAAAGATCTCGTTAACATGATTGACATGGGCAATCGAACACGGGCGAGACAACGCAATAACGTGGGCGGTGTTGCACGTGTTGTGTCAGCCTTTGGGATTGTTGGTAAGATCATTTGCACTTGTATTTTTAATGCATATTGGCAGACTTGTTTTAACTGCACGCATAAGTATTCGCATATATGTATTAAATAGAAATTACTTGATATATTGATATATTGAAATATTGATTTAAACGATCATTTTGAAATCTATGGTATACGCATATTTTTCCTTTTTTCTTTTCTCTACCACACTATGCTACTGATACGAACGTTGAAGCTTAGGCTCCTCAGTGTCTCAAGCTTTATTATTCATGGTATGATATTTGATTCTTCTGTATATCACATACATAAGTCACATGCTATTGTTAATATCATTTATCTACTAAACATCAACTAACAGTGATATTATATCAATACTATAATTATACTATAATTTTCCACTCAATAATATAAGGATTCAGATAAATGGAAATAAATGGAAGAAGGAATTAAGCAGATTAAAGAATATAGAAATATTAGAAATAGAAAATTTCTTTTCATTATGACAGAATCTTGATTCCTTGATTATGAAAAACTGTATGTTGAAATTTAACTACTTTTAATTTTTGAACGCTTAATTTGTTTCTTATTTCTTTCATTGTGTCTGCACTTTAAGAGTAATATAATATATACTGTATGTGACAGTTACATTGTTGAGTAAGAAATTATAATATTGATGTATTATCATTAGTTGAAGTTTACTGTATGTTTTGCATCAGATACTAAAAGCATCTTATCGGAATTATTGTTAATTGCGTTATACGTGAGATTTAGCTTACTTACATTTGCTTGCTAATAAAGGCGAAAATAGTAAAGAACCTGCACCTAGTTCGGGTATATCAGAGGAGCCTGAGCAACATGAATTACAAAAGCCACTGCACAAACCAACACAAACTAAATTCACCTGGAAGAACATGTGGCAGAGAGATACTTTCCCCAGGCTAGTGCCAGCTTTTGCTCTTCTTGGTAAGGCATAACGAGCTTTTTATTGGTAAAGCCAAAGGTAGATGTATCTATATATTATTGCAAACAGAATAACTTTGTTGCATAAAGAGAAAATTAATTTTGGAAACAAAAATTCTATCGATTGTTTGTTCATCTATCAACATGTGAATTAAAAATGTTTCGGATATTAATTTTACAAAGATGTGTGGCAATGTTTTGATTACACTAGACAACATTATACAGAGTTATTCGATTAATGAATCGATGTTTGATAAATCACAATATGCAGCCAATTCGAGTAATAAACATATGATTAACAGAATTAATATTCACAAACAGACATCATGGTATATCATGGTATGTACATATCCTACCTCATGCATGATGTGATATTTCCGTATATATTTGATATTTCTCATACGTGTAGACTAAATGCATGGATATTACATACCACACAAACAATAGGCGTTATGTATTACAAAGATTAGTAGCACTTAGATTTATGTATAAAATGCAAGCAAATTATCCAACTCTTCTATCGATTATTTAATAATATAATATAAAAATATAATATAAAAATATAAAATACAGTCAGTTAATGAAATTCAGTTAATGAAAATTCATAATGACAGATATATTTTAGAAAACAAATATCTGATGCAGGATTTGTACGTTTTTTGGAAGGATATTATATAATCCTAGTCACGAAACGTCGCCGAGTTGCAGTAATCGGTCATCATACGATATATAAAATAGAAGATACATCAATGATATACATACCAAATGACATTATACGAATCTTTCATCCCGACGAACAGAGATACGTAAAAATGTTCCAAAGTATTGATCTCAGCAGTAACTTTTACTTCAGTTATTCATATGATATATCACATACTTTTCAAAGCAATATGGCACCACCAACGCATATTAAATCTGATATTCTCACTGATATGCCTGCTAGCCAAAAGGAATCTGAAGAATCAGAAGACGATTCTGAGGATTTTTTCAATATGTGGGCATTCAGAAAAGATTGGCAGACTCAATGGTACGTTATGCAACTTTTATACTGAGCTCATGTTTCTTTGCTCATGTTTGTGTACATAATTTAATCAAAAAAGATTGAATATATTTTTTATTTACTTTGAACATAATAAAAAAAGCATATGATTAATAATAATATGGAGCATATTTATAGCAAAGGCGAGAAATATATGGATTACGGTATACGTAGTAATCCACAACGTCGTTTCGTGTGGAACTCTCACCTTTTAAAGCCCGTAGAAAAGGATTTACATCCTGAATGGATATTGTATGTGATACATGGCTTTATTGGTCAGTCAAACGTGAGCATTTTTGGAAGGTCTATGTACGTCACCGTTATTGCCAGAAGAAGTAATAAGTATGCAGGAACACGTTTTCTGAAACGCGGCGCAAATTTTGATGTAAGTATAGATAGATTTATGTGTTTCTTATAGATATTTATTATTAATTATTATTTATTACTAATGAATTGATTAAATGCAGGGAGATGTCGCGAACGAAGTAGAAACAGAACAAATTGTTCACGACTCTGGCGTGAGTTCTTTAAGTAAAGGACGTTTTAGTTCTTTTGTACAAATGCGTGGATCAGTACCTGCTCATTGGAGTCAGGATGTTAGTAAAATGGTTCCAAAACCAACTATAACTTGTGATTTGTCCGATCCTTACGTAGAAACAGCAGGTATTTTAAATAAAAATCGACTAATCAATTGTCTTTCTCATGTGTAATTATTATTCTCACATTCTTTTTAAAATAATTCTAGGAGCACATTTTAATCAATTATTGAAAAGATACGGATCGCCAATAATAATATTAAATTTAGTAAAAAAACGGGAGAAAAAGAAACATGAAAGTACGTTAAGTGAAGAACTAAGTATGGCTGTGAAATATTTAAATCAATTCCTACCTCCAGAGCATCATATTCAATATATAAGTTTTGATATGGCACGTATGAGCAAAAGGTAAATTTATATTAAACTGTAAATATATTAAAATGATAATTTCATTATAATTTTCTCCTGTATTTTTTTTTTTTATAGAAAAAAGGTGAATGTCATGGGACGATTAGCGAACATTGCTCACAATGCTGTATTAAAGACTGGTATTTATCAGTCACAAAATCCTTACTATAGTCAGAGAAATCTGTTTTCACCACAAAACAATATGAGGAAACTTCACAAAACCAGTTCGAGTTCAACTTTGTCATCTAATTTAAATGACACCAGAAGCTCTATTAATACTTTAATTAAAACGGATTATAACAGACAAGCAAGTTCTATACGTGGTTCCGACTCAATTACAGAAATCAATAAAACAAATGAATTAAATCAAATCGAGAACAAAGTAAAGGAATGTTTTGCTAGAAAAGGAACTGTGCAAACTGGAATTATCAGGACAAATTGTGTAGATTGTTTAGATCGAACTAATACAGCTCAGTTTGCAATAGGAAAATGCGCTTTAGGATTTCAGTTATGTGCTTTGGGTGTATTAGAATCTCCTAAACTCGAATTTGATTCCGATTGCGTAAGGATGTTAGAAGAATTGTATGAAGATCATGGGGATACTCTAGCCTTGCAATATGGTGGCTCACAATTAGTACACAGAATTAAAACATATAGGTAACATATAGGTAACATTATTACATTTAGACGTAATAATAATTAAAATAATTTTAATTATGCCAAACTATTATCATTTAGAAAAACTGCACCATGGACAAGTCAAGGTAACGACATTATGCAAACTTTAAGCAGATATTACAGTAATACATTTAGTGATCAAGAAAAGCAACACACAATCAATTTATTTCTGGGTAAGTAAACATATATCTACATAATCTTGACGAAATAATCCATGATTATCGCGTAATTAATGTATTTACATGTATTTACATGTCTTAGGTTTGTTCATACCTGAAGAAAGTAAGCCTCCCATATGGGAAATTTTAACGGATTATTATCTCCATCATCCACCTGCTTGTCACTACTTGCGTAAAAGGAGACTTCTGACACAATGGTGGGATAAAAGTGTATTGAAATGTCTTCCTTATGCACTTGACGAAGTAACTAAATCCTGTTCAGAAATGATACAAGTACAAAATTCAATAGAAGAAATGATTGATGTTTATTATGACTATCACAGGTAACGTCACTTATTTCATAATTATATATAACTGTTCATGTGTTAAGTTTCATGAAAAATTTTATTTAAATATTTTAGGCCATACGAATTGTCTTTGTTATCCGAAGTATATGCATATAAAATAAGTCATTCTGTTAGAGATTTTATGCCACATTTTACCACTTGCTATAGTCCATTCGTTGTTCGTGTACGACCAGGTAGACGGAGAGAAGAAGCAGGTAGTAAAAATTTAAACAATAGAAAAATCCAATCTATGACTGGCCAGAGCAGTACAAGTAGTACAACATCCAGCGCAAGGTATATATAAGATTTAACTATTTTATTCTTCGGAAGATTAATTATAAATAGAAATTAATAGTTATGGTTAATAACTTAATAATTTGGATTATAAATCGACTTGAATTAACATCATTTTTGCAGTTCAAGTGAAGATTCAAGTTCAGATGAGGATGAAAGTCATCAACAGATAGATGATTCTCAATTAATTACTTCCAAAGACAGTTCAGAATTGGTTTCTTTTGAATTATTGTTTCCATCTATGAAAGAAGTGTACGGCACACAACCGGAATATCCAAAGCGCAATGACATTATTCTTTATAAAAGGTAATAATTAACATATCTTTTGTAAATATAAAAAAATTTTTATACATTTTAACGTTTCCCTTTTTTAGATTTGTTCTCATAGGACGCAATGCGACATATCCTATAGATCATACTAAATTGCGTTCGAAATTAATTCAGCAAGCATCCTTTCATGAATCTGTAGCTCCAGTCATTACATTACCTAGTGTTAAAGATGCAAGCATAAGTATATACGAGCGATATGTGAAGAGAGCCACAGTATGTAATTATATTGCATTTAATTAAAATATCTTGTAATTTTCTATTTATGAATTTTTTTAGGTAGGTGGCATGGCACCAAATCCAAATGACATGAATATATATGAAGCTTATGCTTCTCAATACAAATTGCTTATGAAACCAGCGTGCTCAGGATAAATTCGATTAATTTTGCATTTTATAAGTTTTGAACTCATTCATCACATTGTAAATATCAATAAGCTAATCTAATATTAATATTAATTTATGTGCAATTATCAATAATAAGATTAATTTACGTTCATGTAATTTTCTTTATATATTTATATAAATGTATGTATATTGAACGTATGAAAAGAATAAAATACGAAAGATCAGTTTACCAGTTGTAGTTTATTGATGTCATATATAAGAAATATATATTTCCATTCCCATAACTTGGAAAATGGAATTAGACGTTTAATCTACTTCAGCTTCTTCTTTGGTCTGATGTTATTCGTGTGACCACATTTCTTCTTACGGCAATTGGTCGCTCGTGGATGAAGACGAGCATAGCATTTGCGACAGATCATCTTGTCACAGTTGTACTTCTGTGCAAGTATACGCAGTGTAGGTTCAATTACACCACCTCGGAGACGAAGTACCAGATGCAGGGTTGATTCTAGACAAAAAAATACAGTTACTCTCATGCATGTTGCAATATACTTTTTACTTTTATTTTAATAAAACTTTGTAACTATATTTGAAATATCACAATATATAGTTTGTTTTATTTTTAACTCAAGTTGAATAAATCTGACATTATATGTGTTCGCACCTTTCTGGATATTGTAATCTGAGAGAGTGCGTCCATCCTCCAGCTGTTTGCCAGCGAAGATGAGTCGTTGCTGATCCGGTGGAATTCCCTCCTTATCTTGAATCTTGGCTTTGACATTTTCAATGGTATCGGAGGCCTCTACCTCGAGGGTGATGGTTTTACCCGTGAGGGTCTTCACAAAGATTTGCATGGTGGCTTATCTGAACAAAATCGAGTTGTGAATTTTTATCGCAATTGCGATGTTGATTAATTACGACCGACAACTATCCGAAAATACTGCAAAATTGTAATTAAAGTCGTTTTCAAGGTACAACTTTATTGGGAAGTAGACAGAATCATGAGAAATAGACACTAAAATTTAGAATGATCGAGACACATCACGTTGACAACGCAGAGTCGTAGCGCGCCGAGTTGCGTTTGTTTTTTCAAGCTACTTTTGTTCAAAAATGACTTTTGCGAGAGGCGAATTGTAGAAGTGATTGAGTTTATCGTAAGATTTAACGTCAAGCAAAACTGTACGATTACGAAGAAACAATTAAGAACGAACGTACTCACCGTTCCGACAACGTGCTGCCAATGAACCAACCTAAAAAGACTCAAACATGGCCGCACCGCCACTTCCGTCGACAACGCGGAAACAACTCGTGCGATACTTCGTCGAACGAGATGGTCACGAAACTGCGCAGCAAAGCGACGATTGATTATACAGGATCATACAAAAATATCACACTGACTTCTGCAACATCAGGTTTGCGTAAACATATAGAATTAATATATTTTCATATATTTTCATATTATATTCTTCCCTTTAAGTAATTGTTGTGTTTAAAACTAAAATTTATTGAGTTCTTTTTTTATTTAAATTAAAGTTATAAATCTAAAAAATTAATTTTATAAAATATTGTGATTTTTTTTTTAAATTAGATTATTTTATACGGTAATACAATTACAGTATAGAACAACTTTCATAAGCGAAATGACTACAAGCGATTAAATCGATAATAAAAGCGAGGTTTAATTTAAATCGCGCATTGAAGCAAATCGATAATCGCAGTTTTCGATAGATCGCCGTCTTGAAACACTCGCCTGTGGCTAAATATCCGCTCGATACTCAAGTTTCCTTGCTTTTCAAACTCAGTTCTCCACTGCTGTTCAAACTCAGTTCTCCGTTGATGTTGAACCTTTGAAAATCGCAGCATTTCTTTCTAAAGTGGATTCCAAATCGCACGTTTGATCGCAAAACGTGTCGTGATTTGCGAATTGTAATTCACATTTCTTGTGACAGTTCGAATGCAACTCGTGCGATTATGACAAAATGTCGCGGATCGAACGCGATACGCGAAGCTGGCATTACGCGCCAATTGCAGTCTCGGATGACCTACTTTCATATTCAAATCATCAATATATAATATTGGATGGAATATCCAAAACTAAAACTGTCTTAGCAGAAAAGCACAAGACAATGTGTGAGTAAGAGCGAGTCATATAAATTAGATCCATAAGGTACCCGAATAATATATTTGCTTTCAATTTATTGATTTTGCGTCATAAACAAGTAGAATATAATTATTGATTATAATATATAATAATTTCAATTTATGACATTTATACATAGTTTTATATTACACACTTAAAAATTGCATCACGTTAAGATAAGCTGTTTCCCTTCTCTGTTAAGTAAAATTCAACTAATAAAGAAATAGTAGGAACTCTTTATTTATTCATAAGAACTTGTTAAACAAACATTAAAAAATATTAATATAAACAAAAATAGTATTAATTTTAAAGTATAATTAATGATAGAATAATTTTAAAAGAAAAATTACTATATCCGCAGAAACAGCTAGCTGGAAACATTGGGAAATAAGAGTGCGTTAAATTGATTATTTTCTATTTGAAAAGCGTAACGAGGATACGAAGTAACATCATGATGTTCTGTGCATCACCTTACGAAGAGAGACGTCATATCGACGATATCGATTTTTATTTCTTATGAATGAGCAAAGAGTTACAAACAAACTTTGAATTGCATTATCAAGATCTCAAGATATGTTTGCGTATTATCTTGCGGTAATATGGTTGCAATTTTGCGACCGTAAAGATACGCGCGTGCGCATACGCGCGAGCATATTTGTGTACGCCCATATCCGGTTTTCCAAGAGGACGAGGTCTCGCGCCTCGAACGATATGCAAATGTCAGTGGTAACCCTTAAACTTTACGCCCTGACCTAGATGCTCACCTGTCTGGGGAACAGCGAGATGTCTCACGATTATGCGCGATTTACCATGTCGGCTCAGTTGCAAACGCAAGATTCTCGCAGTGTCGCCAAAAAGGAGATCATATCCAACGAGTACCGAGATTCATATTTTTTTAGTGATTAGTTGCAGCCAAAGAATAAGTCAAAAAGTCAAAACTAATTCGTCAAATGGGCTGGCAAATCACAAATTAATTTCAATGTTATTAGACTTTTATTAAATTAAATCAATTGAAAAATATATATCTTTTTCATCTCATTCAAAATTTATTTAAAAGATATTATTATTATAAATCTTTCTTAGTTCAAACATGTTGGAAGTAGATTATCTGTAAATTTTTCTTTTACTGAAAGTATACTAAGCGAATTGAATAATTCAAAAGTTGGATACTTAGAATATTTTTTGTTAATTATATTAAGCTAACTGAATTGTTTTGATTGCTTTGTAGATCAAAAATTATAAATTCTTTTTGTTTAAAGTATATTATGCAAATTTAGATGGCAGTTTTACATTTGCTGCAAATTTAATATTAATGTAATTTTTTTAAAATTATTATAGTATAAAGTTACTTTTTTAATTGTTAATATTGAAGAAAAGAAGAAGTATATTCATTAATAATTAATAATTCTTTAAAATTATGTGGGACTGTTTTAATGAATTTATTGTATCAAATATATTAATATATTATATCGTATGTATTAAAATAAGTTAAAATAAATTTAAATATTATTAATAAAAATAATTTAACAAAAAAAATAAAAATGAAAATATTTAATTAAGATATACTTAAACATTTTTAATAAATATTCTTATAAAATTTACAATCAATTTATTAGAAATATAGTAATTTTTCTTTGAAATTGTATTATTTTTGTTTACTAATATTAATATTTTCTTTTATATTTGCTTAATAAGTTTATGCAAGTAAATCAAAGTGATTTTAAACTTAAATGACCTAAATAATTGGAACAGTCGAGAAAAGATCGGAGAAGATCGAACATTCTATCTTCTATAACAAACTCTTTTCGCGCAATTCTCTTTCTAATTCGCCCACATTTCATATCGCGATCATTTTTTCTCTTTTTCTTCCGCTTGCACGCGTTCGCCGGACGCGTTCCATAAACTCGAATGAGTTTCGCGATACTGCAAGGAAGAAGCTTTACGACTCTCTCTCTGTCTCCTCGAGTGTTTCATTGGATCACGCATTTTTCTCAAGTTATCGCGCTTTATCGTCGGGGAATAGATAGGCGAAGAAGCACCAAGTATGGGGGAGGCGAAAACGCGAAAAGTATCCTATAAATTTCGTTGTACAACGGAAGACTGGTGGTGGATCGTCGACGACCAACAATCGATCTAATGTACTTGCACTCGAACGAATGTTGCGACACTTGTTAGCGCATTCGAAAAGTAGCATTTTCACATCCATTTTTGCTGCCGATGGAGATTGCTGCCGGCGTATCATTCTCGTTATCTTGATCATCGATTAACTTTCTCCCTTCTCCCCGTTTCCGGTGATAGTGATAATTACCACAGTCGGTTTATTAATTGAAGTGTCGACCGATATCTAGACTAAAATCAAATCGCTGGCCTCTCGGATGCAAAGTAGTACAGCCGATAACTGGATTTTCCTTCGTTCAGGTGGACCGACGGTGCGATTGTGAAGAGCCTAGCAGATTGCGTAATCCGATGGATATATCAGGGATAGAAATAGCTCCGCGTCCATAACGTACGTACCGAAGGAGAAATCGATGGGGAGTAAAATTCCGCTTCCTGACGACTCGGTGAATACGAATTTCAATAGGATTTCATTTTACGACCCCTCGAAAAAATATTGATTTCTCGGCTTATATCTCTTTTTTTTTCCTCTCGCGGCACAAATCCGACGGCATTATTATGCATTAAATTATTCGATGGCAAGTACTTAAATATCCACCTTCGGTGGTACATAACGAAGAAAAACGAAGAAAAATTAACGTCGTATGTTAATTCGCGAATAATATATTCAGCAGTATCAGCGAAAACTCGACGACCGGGACGTCATAGAAACGGCGCATGCTTAAAACGTATCGCATTTATGCGGCGGCTTATGTATTGTAGTCGTGTAATAGGATCCGCAATTTCTTACTATCAAATGCAAACGCGGAGAGCACCGTGCTCGTTGTATAAATAAGCTATGCTTACCGAAGAGATAGCCGACCGGGCGTACGTATCACCAATCATTTGCCTAGGCTAATCAACGTGCGCCGCTCTTGTGACGTGGCTTAAATTAGAGGACGGCGAGCTCAGATCGCCGTGGCTTCGGGTTACATTTGAATTGTGTATGAGTAAGCCCGGGTTAATGGTTAAACCCGACACGTGTAGCCGGCACGTTCATTTCGGTATGACCTGCGATAAACTTTGCGTCGTACACGGCACTAGCTCGCGGTATCTCGCATAAATAATCGTTATCGTCTAATCGAAGAGGGACTCGATTACAATTAACCGTCCGCGTTAATCCATCGATGAACGTTTCTCTCCCCGCGGGAGAGAAACTCTCCCTCTCTGTCTCCGCCTCGATTCGCCGAGAATTAGCGAAAGAAAACGCCGAATTAATAATAAATTCGGGGCTGATCTAATTCGCCGAGAATTAGCGAAAGAAAACGCGTTCAAAATCAAACGGTAGCGAATCCATGATGGCGTTAATGCGATCGAATCGCATTATAGCCCGTGACGCACGCGGCTGCCCTTTATTTACGGAACTATCGTGCGGGAGCTCCACGATAATATTTACTCTTCCCTCTAAAGGAAAGAGGATTTCAACCGCGGACAACGCTGCCGCTGTTATTCTCGAGAGCCGTCGTAGTGTTGTTGCTCGCTCCCTCATCCCTCTCTTATCCGCCGTATTTGGTCGAGGGTAACTTGCAAAGGGGATGAAGCACAGCGTGTGAAGAACCTCCCCTTAAACACGAAAGTTTACACCAATACAACTTACGCGTACAACGAAGTGTGATACGGGCGATAGATCCCAGATAAGAGATTGATATTAATGATACATCTTTTTTTTGTTAATCAGCTGTCTTAGTTAATTGAAAGGTCTAGATTTCTAATACGCTTCTACAGATTATGATAAGAGACAAGTTTCTACTTAAAATGTAGTTATGGGTTTTGCGCGAAGGACACTCCGGAACTTTACAATCGGTATATACTACGTACAATACGTAAAGTACTCGTAATCTAAAAAGAATCGCATCGCTCTCTAAGGACAGATAAACCGCGCCTTTCGACCTCCCCAAGATCTACCGTTGCCTTTAAACTCTGCATTACCGGTGAGCGTACGGCCTGGATATGAAAGTTTCATAACCGAGGGCGCGCCGTGCAGCACGACGTACTTCCGTTCGCCTTAATAAAATATTTTTATTTGTCGTAAAAATAGACGACCTCGGACGCCGGGGTTCGCTAATACCGTCGCCTCGGAAAAATCTGAAGTCGCGCGGTAAAACTTGCGTCGCGCGG